AAGATACAGCTTACGAGGGGAGGGCATAGCTCAGGGGTAGAGCACATGCTTAGCATGCACGAGGTCCTAGGGTCAATCCCCAGTCCCTCCATTAAAAAAAAAAAGATACAGCTTATGTGTGCACTCCTTACTCCATGTAGAATCTTTTTCCAAACCTTAAATGTATGAGAGTGAATCAGACATATTTCAAGGCACAGAGCATACTTAAGGCTCCTCAAAGAGAAAGGTAGAACTTAAAGGGAGGGTATGAGAAAGTAGGTGCCCTTTTCTGGGAGTTTTAAATCTTGTTTTGAAAATAACACAGTTTTTCTGTTCATAAAAGTAGTACTTATTTAGAAAAATTCGGAAAATATAGAAAAGTATAAAGAAGAAAATTTAAATAATCTATAACCACTGCATTTTCATGTTTTTCCATCTGTTTACCTATTGTTCTTTTTATAAAACTATGGTTCTAATGTACATATTCTTGACGAAATTTCAACCAACTAGAAGAAAAAAGGGAATTTTATTTGAGCCAAACTGAGGATTATAACCCGGGAGATAGGCTCTCAGAAACTCTGAGAACTGTTCCACCCATTAGAAGTCGAAGGCACAGTCATATACATTTTTGGGACAAAGGATCATACATCAGAATGGCACATCAACATTTTACAAGAAGTTCACCCAGGATATGTACATAGTCCAGGTAAACAGGTAGAAACAGCAAGTCACCATAACCCTCTACAGCCCTGGGAAAGAACACTGCTCTTTTAAGAAGCAACATTGTTAGCATCTGAAGAAAGGGGAAAAAATTGATCTTCATGGTCGAGCAGGCACTCCCATCTTTGAGGGAATTTGGTTGATAGGTAATGCAGATTAGGGAGGGAGGGAAGGAGGTCCAAACAGACAGAGAGAAAGAGAATTTTATGTTTCATTTCTCTTGTCTTGCCTTAAAATATAAATTTCATTTCATCAGTTTATTACTTTTTGCAACCTGATTTATCACTGAGCAATTTATGGTGATTATATATCCAGGTCAGTAAATACTCTTCTAAAATGTCATTTTTAATATCTCTTTTCTCTGTCGTCTGATGTGCAGTTACTTTACTGGCCTCCTGTTCTGGGGCGTTTCCATTCTATCCAGTTCTTCA